AAGATATGAAAATAATAATCTATAACTTATAAAGGGTTCATGAGGGACAGCGGGTGGGGAGGGAAGGGAAGAAATGGGGAGCTGATATCAGGGGCTCAAGTGGGAAGAGAATGCTTTGAAAATGATGATGGCAGCATATGTGCAAATGCGCTTGACACGCTGGATGAATGTATGGATTGTGATAAGAGTTGTAAGAGCCCCCAATAAAAGTATTTAATTAAAAAAAAAGTATGAGCCTTGGCTATCTGACCACAGATAGGCAATAATGTTGGACAGATTGTGTATTTATAGATATTCAGATAGTGTGTGAGATAAACATTTACCAGGAAGTTCATTGAGCCTTGGAACAGAACTCTTTGTGCTAGAAGGACATCCCTGAATCTGCCAACCCGAGTGATAGGTTTAAGAACAGATTCAGTGACTGGAGCCCTGGGACTTTCCTGTAAATATCTATAGAAGAAATCCTTGCTGAGTGTTAGGACGCCATGGTCACTGTAGGCGCTTGGCGAAGTAGAGGAACTGATGTTAGCAAGTGAGGGATGTAGAGTCTTTGAATATCCCCTTAGTCTCATCGATGAGTGGTAACCAGAGACACTGAGATGACTTCACGGCTGTCATACATAATCAACTGGTTTCTGACAGCAAGACAATGACATCACTTGGTGTCGCCTGGTCTGTGTGTGGAGCCTAGTGGCACAGTGGGTTACAGGTTAGGTTGTTAACCACAAAGGCAGCAGCTGGCACCACTAGCTGCTCTATGTCAGAAAGAGGAGGCTCTTCCACCCGCATGAAGATGTACAGTCTCAGAAACAAAAGGAGGCCAGTTCTCCTCTGTTCTGTCGGGTCCATTTGGGTTGGAATCAGTTCCGTGGCAGTAGGTCTGTGTCAGTTATAACTCGGTGTACGTATTTATGCGTGAGAAGAGGCATTAGTCTTGGGCACTCAGTCTAGATGGCGTGTTTGTTCAGCCTTTTGCAGCCGTACATTGTCCAGCCTGTTCCAGGACTGTGTCTCTCAGAGACAGAACATTCTGTGGTCTTGCCAAATCACCCATAAATTCTGGTTTAACTTCTTCAGGCCAGAGAGCTACACCGGTTATCATGATCCACAAATAAGACTTCAGAATCGAAAAGTATGGAACCTCCCTGAAATTAAAAATGGAATATGATCCAAATAAATAGACAGACAGATGGTTAAGGTGGTGGTCTCAGTTCATTTGTGCTCCTGTCACAGAAAGGCTACACATAGGTGACTTTAATGAGCAGAAATGCCTTTTCTTGTGGTTTAAAGGCCTAGAGATCTGAATTCTAGGCACTGGTTCAAGGGAAGGTTCTCTGAGGGAAAACCTTGTGTGTGCGTGTGTGGCGTGCGTCAGCTTGTTATGAGTTAGAATTGACTTGATGGCAGTGAGGTAATTTTTTGTAGTTCCTCAGTTCCTTGCCAATCTCTGGATGGCCCCTCTCTTCGCCCATTTGGGCTTGCTTCTGTGTCTAATCAAAAGCGACTAGGTGTAACATGTGCCCTACATGACTGCCGCTGTGGTTCTGACACCTAGGGATCCTAGGTCCAACCAAACGAAACACTGCCTGGTCTTGTGGCAACCTCACAGAGGTTCCTTATGTGTGAGCCTATTGATACAGCCACTGTATCAATCCACCTTGTTGACAGGTTTCCTTTTCCCCCTCCACAGCTACTTGACCAATCATGATGTCCTTTTCCAGGGACAAGTCTCTCCTGACAACATGTCCAAAATATGAGAGACAAAGCCCAGCATCCTTGCCCCTGAGGAGCATTCTGGCTGGACAGGCAAACATAGAATTGTCTGTCCTTTTGGCAGTGCATGCTACTTTCAATAGTCTTCACCAGCACTATAACTCAAATGCATCACTGCCTCACTAAAATAACAATGAGACCCTATACCCACATGGGAGTATATCCCCAGGTATGGAGTTAGGGTTTCAACACATACCTCTTGGGGATGCATTTCAATTAAAACAGTGGTTATACTACCCCAAATTGCAGTTCTTCAATTGCATATTCAACATGTTCAATGCAATTCTCATGAAAATTGTAGCTGCCATTTCCCCCCAGAAATTCACAAGTAAAATACCAGGGACACCAAACATGAAAACAATGCTGAAAATCCATGTTTCTGGATTTCAGAGCATGTGACAAAGTTGTAGTCATCAAGATTGTGTGGTGCTGCATGAGGATAGATTGGCGAGTCTTCCACAAGTGGAACCCATTTGAAAGTCTAGATATTAGCTTGTCCATCTATAGTCAATTGATTTTTTTTTTCAAATAAGAGTGCCAATACAATCCAATGAAGGAAATAATAATCTTTTTAGAAAATGGCCCTTGTACAAATAAATATCGATATGCAAAAGAACGAGGTTAAACCTCAACTCTAAAATTCAGAGAAGAAAACATAGGTGTAAAACTTCATAATCTTGAATTAGGCAGTGGTTTCTTAAATAAGACATAGAAAGTACAAGGAAACAAAGAGAAACAGATACATTGGACTTCATCAGCATTAGAAATTTTGTACTTCAAAAGATACCTAGCAAAAGCGAAAAGAAGGACTGCCTAATGGGAGAAATTATTTACAAGCCACGTGTCTAATAAGGATCTAGTATTTAGTATATATATATATATATATCCTAAAAAAACGGATTTTTTCCCTACACTATGAACTTAAATTTTTTACAAAAGAACCTTATCACCTTCAAAGTACTCTCCATTACACTTAATACATTTGTCAAATCTGTGATTTCATTCTTGGAAACATTTTTCAAACTCATCCAGCTGACAGCACCTTCCTCATTTTTTTTTCTTCACCTCTTTTATGTCACCAAATGGCTGCCATTTTGTGTCCCTCTTCATTTACGGAAACAAAAAGAAGGCACCCGGAGTGAGGGCTGGTGAGTAAGGTGTGTGGGGCAAGAGTGCCATGTTGTTTTTTGCCCCAAAACTGGGACACTGAAATGGCTGCATTAGCAGGCACGTTGTCATGGTGGCAAAGCCAGTCCCCCATCTGCCACAAATCAGGCCTTTTGTGCCACACAGTTTCACAATGTTTTCAGAACCTCTAAATAAAAAGCTTGATTAACAGACTGACCTGAACTCCAAATGCACGATCCCCCTCACATAAAAACAACAACAAAAACAAATGAGCATCATCTTGAGGTTTGATTGCACTTGACTAGCTTTTTGTGGGTGAGGTGACAATGGCATCTGCCACTGGCTTGACTAATATTTGCTTGCCGCTTCGTAAGAATAGCACCATGGCTCCTTACCTTGGAAAAAAATGTCTGGGTCGAGTCAGAGCCGTTCTTTCAAAGCATGGCATGTTTCCACTTGATGCTCTTTTTGCTGGTCAGTCATAACTTGAGGCACAAATTACACAGGGACCCTTCCCATTCCCAAACCTTGTGTTACAATTCCCCGAACTGAGCTCCAATGTAGTCCAGATAACGTCCCCATCGCCTCAATGGTCTCTTGCAGTTCTTTGAGCACAGATGCATGAATTTTGTTGATAGTTTTGCCTCTTTGGGAATTTGCAGGACGTCCAGAATGAGGTTTGTCAGCAATCGACATTTCACCTTTTTTGAAACAAGAAAATCACTCATACACTTCAGTTTTTCCCATAGCGTTGTCATTATAAGCTGTGTTCAACATCACAACCGTTTCTGCAGCATTTTCCCAGAGCAGGAAACAGAATTTCACAGCCACATGCTGTTCTCTTAAATAGGCCATCACCAAAAACAAGGTTTGAGTAAAATTGCTTTTATGAAAATTTCCCTGTGACCAGAGAGGATCTTCCCAGGCAATGTCAATGGGTGCAGGAACTCAGAGCCAGTTGCTCAGTGCTCCCCTAGTGGGAGAAGCGCCCAGCGGAGCTTTTCCCATTTTGGAGGGGTGGTTTGTTATGGGTACTTATATGATTACCTGATTGATATAGTATCGTGTCTACCTCTCAGTCTGGGAGGGAGAGAGAGAGAAGGAAGGGAAGAAGAGCGAGTCTAATATATACTGGTTATCTGTAATAGGCATCCTACTTTCCTAGATATTTAAATAAATATCCAAAATATGAGGCAGCTTCAGAAAGTTTGTGGGAGAATGGAATTAAAAGATGATGAAATTCTTCCACGAAACTTCTGGAAGCTCCCTTATAATTCTCCACAATTCTGATGGGAAGACAGAGACACACAAAGTTAACATACCTTATGCAAAGTCATCATGAATGGTAGAACTGTCATTCAAATAGAAGCCCAACTGCAACGCTCCCTCCCTTTCCATGACACCATTGGCACTTACAAGGAGAGGAATGGAAACCTGAGAGACCCTGAGACTTACATGATAGAACAGAGGCCGGAGAAGGCAGTCAAAGCCAGTCTTTGGAATGTGAGAGCTCTTATGGGGAAGAAGGGGGAGAAGGGATAACCCAGTAAGAAAGATTTATTGCTCAGCCTACCCTCTTCGGGTGGGGATCATTTCCTCTGCAGTTCTTCACTGTCCCCAGGAGGGACAGGTTTCCTATTCCTCATAGAAGCTCGGTCAGCTACCTAGAACTAAAATAAACCCCAGCCCTCCGACTTCCCTCTGGATGGCCCCAACTCGGAGCTGACTCTGTTTCTCTAGCTCCTAGACAGACCCCTCAGCTCAGAACCGCGCATACCTGCCTTCTAAGGTGAGGGAATTTGCTCTTTTGTCCTAGCGGTGAACAAGGTGGGGGTTAGCTGTCCTTCCCAAATGTGGGCCTTGCTCTGGCTATGCATTTGCTATTGTTTACCTGGGATAACATTCTATGTATAGACTCCACAGTGACCCGCCCTGTATGACTGTAAATGATTTCCGGATTGCCAAATCTCCTGCCCATCTGTCTCTGTGCCTGGCTGGGTTGAGGGCTGGTGTGCCTTCCCGCTGCCCTCCTCGGCTCAGGCCCTCCTCTCTCTTTCAGAGGGCAGGCGGTGAGGATTGGCCAGCAAAGGAAAGGAATCTCTTCATTTGGGAAGCAGAACTGCCAGGAGACCTTGAAAGAACTGGGAGTCTCCTTAGAAGCAGAAGCCCAGCAGGATGAATTGCAAAGAGGGGGGCTGATTCTTGGAAACACAATGTGACTGACCACTGCAGGACCCAGGTGCTTGAAGAGCCCTGAGAAGCAACTGCAGGGTGGACTCACCAGGTAGGAGAAGGAAGACACAGGTGTGTCAGAGGTAATTTTGTATTTAATTTTGGGAAGGGGACGTGAGGTAATCTGCTTTTCCCTCTCCTAGATGGCTCTCATTTCCTCAATTGGGACAATTGTTCTTGAGTAATAATCCAGTGTGTGTGTGTGTGTGTGTGTGTGTGTGTGTGTGTAGGGTGGGTGGTGGGTGGGGGCTGTGTGTATGTCAGCAAAAGAATATTTATTTTGAGACAGCTTATTTCTGTGTCTTTGGGTTTGAATATGGCAGATTATGGATGGAACTGGGGTTATGAAAAATAGAACGGTAATTATAATTCAAAGATTTTCGATAACACCTCGAAGGAAAACGTTGTGTTCACACTGTAGTCACATTCACATCCCTTGTAGTTTATGGAGGCCGTGAGTGTTATCCTGCTTCCCCAGATGGAGCTGTCTGTTCAGCAATCATTTGTCCTCTAAGACAGCAGACTTTTTGTGAGATGCCAGTACACAAAGTACTTCACTGCATGCCCCAGGGGTTTTAAGAATTCTTGAAAATAGATAAAATAAGAGGCAAGGAACGTTGATACCCCCCTGTCTTATTATCAACTCATCTTTGAGTTAGGATTCATAGTGGAGCCTCTTTTCAAAAGGTTTCAAAGTACATTTTAGGTCCAGAGTCTCTGGGAAGGTAGGGAGAGGGTAGAGATCCAAAAATAGGTCACAATCCCTTGGTGTCTGAGGGAGCTGGAGAAAAGGCTTCCTTCTAGTAACCCCGCCCCCTTTGAGCCAGGAGATAGCAGAGGGCACAAGGCAAGTTACCTACCCAAACCCAACGCTCTTCGGGGTCTCCATGTAGTCACGTCTTGTCTTCTCACACGTTTGTTCTGGTGGAAAGGTAGGATCCTGGGATCCTGATTCCTAGCCCAGCGCTCTTGGAGATTTCTGCCTTCATCCTGACCCCTTCCCATAGGATGCACATGGTGACAGGTATCTTTTCCCTCCAAGAGAAGAAACTAGAAATAGGATTCGAGTTCAGATGGTGACCAAATAAAGCTTGGCAGGATTTGGCGAACACGAGGCAAATTTTTTTTAATTTGACTTTTATTTTCAGGATGTATTTTAAAGGCAGTCTTTGCTCCATAGCATTAAAAAAACTTCACAGGTAGAGTCTCCATTCATTTTTTTCTCCCAAATTGTAGTGTGTGTGTTGGCAAAATTTGGTTCAGCATCATATAGTTTCCATGATTCTCTGGAATTCCAAACACAACTTTTTGTATTTTTGTTCAGTCTTAAGTTTTTGAATATACAGTACTTTTAAAAACATTGATTTTTGTAGTTAGAAAACCAGGGTATGAAAATATGCTCTGCTGACTTGCCTTTAAAACAAACAAGTTTAATCTACATCTGAATCTAATCTCTCTGAACTTTAGTCTTCTTTGAGGGAAAGTGCCTCCCATAGCACCTGGCACACTGGATGCTCAATCTATGTTTATTGGGCCTGAGAGCAGACAGCAGTGACTTTCTTTCAGAATGTCGGAGATAAATACATCTGGAATCCTCTAGAGCTAAGCAGTTCTCCGCTACCTGGCTTCTCATTTGGCATCTTCTCTCTCTTTAGGGAGTTTTTGCTTGGCAACTCCAAGGTAAGGATTCAGGGTAAGAAAAGAGGGTGGGTGACTCGGAGCCAAGGCAGATGTCTCTGTCCTGGGCCTTCTACGTCACGTTACCCCCTTTATGTCCAGGCTTTGGGCATCTTGCCCCACAGACCAGCTCTTGATAATGCTCTTAACCCCAGTGTGCTCTCAGGATAGGTCAATTATCTACGGAAGAAAAACAAGGCTGGAAAAATGACTTTTTAAAACTTGTAGTTTGGGTGACAGTTTACAGAGCATATTCCTTCTCCATACAACCGTTCATATGTCTCTCGTGGCGGTGGCTGGAGTCACCTCAGTGGGGTAGCGTTTTCCCTTCTCTCCCCAGGCTCGGCATGTCCACTTAACATTCTTTTTGGAAACTCCCGGCCCCTTCCTGTCCTCTGAGCTTGTTTGGGGGCAACAGCTTCCCGTTTAGTCTGGTTTGGTTGAGGAATACATTCTTCCCTGGTGCTCACTGTGCAGCCTGTCTAGTTTTCTACAGAAAGGGGATCCCTCCAGGTGACTTTAGTTCCAGGTTTGGAGGGTGTGCAAGTGGGAAGGTTAAGGGTGAGGCGAGGCGAACAGACTTAATCAACTTCATTGGAATGGAGCCAGATGTTATCAGCGGTCAATCGAGACATGTCTCATAACACATAGGCAGATGGGTTCCAGGAGAACAAATCTGAATTTTTAATCAGTCCTCTTTGCAGTTGTATTTTGGCACAGGGCGTTTTTGTTTTTGTTTTTGACCCTCATGGAGAAATTGCTGGTAGTTTTTGGAAAGGGGTGTTGTATAAACTGAATAGAAATGTTACTAGTAATGGTTCATGTCACAATTTCAAAGAGAACTGTCTTTGTGTGTTCATAGACTAGACACAGAGATGCAGTGTGACTTGTGCTTGTGTCATGAAAGTGTATCTAAACGTTCACAGACTTGATGTTCATATTTGATTCAATGTTAGTCGTAATGATGAATTTCTTTTAGCTTTGAAAAATATTTGTGATGGATTTCACTTTCTACTCACTGTCCTTTTTCCTGTTTGTGTTGCCTTCATTGTGCTATTTCTTACAGTCAGTCTTAATTCAAGGAGGGAGCTAAACATTTCAAGATGCTCAGAGAAAGTCAGAAGCAACTGCGAAGACGTTAAAGTAAGACAATACTATTGCTCTCATTAGAATGTTTTCTTTTCTTTTAGAATGTTTTCTAAACTTTAGTCAGGTTATATAAAACCATATTTTGCAACCTTCAACTGTTGCCGTGAAAACAGAATTTCACAACTTCAGTAGACCTTTGACGGCAGTGCTGACTTTAGTTATGCTATGGAGTATTAAAAGATAACTGTAGCACAATGGTTTGTGTGTGTGATCCTACGTTTTACAGTTAACAAGTTTACAGTCTGGCTAAGAGAAGACGGCATCAGGAAGATGATATGGCTGAAGGAGTATTAGTCATATTGTTGTAATACCCATTCTTGTAATGGTCAGATAGGTTAGAATGCAACCATTGGAAGAATGATGCTAGCTAGCAATGTGGCAAAAAAGCATGGTTTTCTCCACATGGAGTGCACAGCTAAAATCACGTGGGAACCACAATCCAAATTCACCATCAAGTGGATTCTGACTTACACTCACGGTGCCTAGTGAATTACATGTTGGGGGGGCAATCCTCAAGGCCAGTAGTTCGAAACATCCAGCCATTCAGAGGGAGAACGGCAAGGTTTTCTACTCTTGTAAAGAGTTCAAGTCTCAAAAACTTACAGAGGGCAGTTCTACCCTGTCCTAGAGGGTTCCAATGAGTCAAAAAACATGTGGAATTATGTATCATTTGCAAGGAGAATGTGATTTAGAAAGAAGTATTGTTGTTATAAAGGAATATGAGAATCTAATGGTATAAGAACTTGGGAGGGTCCAGTAAGTAGTTTTCCATGTGGGCTTTCCTGGATAAGTCACTATGTGTAGTGTATTTACTTCTAAAATCCTAACTCATATGGAGTGTTCTATATGTCTCTAGAAATATTACAATTATTAGAAAAATGTTATTGTACAGACATCTAGAAAATAATTTCATTGAGTGGGCCCCGGCACTGTGTACCTCGGGCGGGCTTCTCATTCCAGCTTTTAATTTCATTGAGCCATAGGTGTAGCTGATTCAAACCACTAAAGGCACCAATACAACAGAGGATGGCTCAGGAAATGCAGTAAATGGTTACAGTGTATTAAAGGACAGCTTCTCTGCCAACAGTTGAATTCTCTGTTAGTAACTAAGTAACCATAGGCAAGGTTATAAGCTTGGTCCTGAGTCATTGGGTGTAGGTGCTTGGCTTTGTGCCTGTAGTTAAGTGCGGCGCACTATGAGCAGTTCTAATTGGAGATATATGTACATATCGACTTCAAATTACTTCCTTCAGTATGTTTCACAAGCCCTGGTAGCAAAGTACTTAAGCCCTGAGCGGCTAAGAGAAAGGTCAGTGGCTTAAACCCACTAGATAGTGCCCCAAGGGATAACAATGTGGCAGTTTGCACTCATAAAGCTTTGTCAGCTTGAGCACCCTACGGGGCAGCTTTACTCTGTCTTGTAGGGGCGCCCTGATCCAGACTCCGCTGGCAGGGCAGTTGGTTTGATTGGGTCGGTATGTGTTAGTGGGTTTGTAGTTTGATTTCTGGGCAGAGCTTGCCAGGCGGAGCTGACTTCTGACCGACCCTTTCTTCACGTGTGCTTTGGGGAGAGAGATTATGATCATGGACCTACTCCCCAGAGAGCCAAGCTTGTTAAACTGGCTGGTTTCCAAATGGAAATAATGATATCTGATAATGTGTTGCAGGGGCTCAAGAAGCGAGAAGAATAAAAATGGCGGAAAGAGATGTGCAAATAGCTCTGTATTCTCTTGGTGGAACTAATGCTGTATTTCCCAGGCGTCCTTTCACTCAAGGGCCCTGTTGTTGCTGGGGGTTAGTTAATGGACTGCCAGCCACAATTCCAACCCATCGGCCACTCCCTGGGAGGAGCACAAGGCTGTGGGTGCTTATGAAGAAGATCCCCAATCTCAGAAACCCACTCGAGGCCTGCTGTAGTCGGAATGACTTGATGGCAGTGGGTTTGGGGTGGGCGTCTGGTTCACCTTTTCATAGTTTCTCAGCATGTAATCTTTCTCTCTCTCTTTGTCCATAAGATTATGGATACTTTCTCCTGGCTGTCTTGATGTATAAATTAGAGAAGATGAACTTTGCTGTTTCACGATTTGCGGGCTTGTCCTTGATTGTGTGCACACCTCTAGATCAGAATTTTTCTCTCTCCTCCATAATTTTTCTTCTCTAGGCAGCTGCTCTGTTTACTTGAGCTTCTGTCAGCTGACAACATACTAGTCCCTCTTCTGGGTGGTAAGGGGGTTGTTTTTAATAAGCACCATGTGCAAGATCACAAAGCTTCAGGAAGAAAGGGAAATGGGATGAGGCTAGAGTTTTTAATATGTTAAATCTTTTTTAACCTATTTATGGTATGCACAGGCTCTGCCCCAAGAACCAACCCTGAGGCTTTTAGTACCAATAGTTAGTACCAATGATTACTAGTATCTATCAACAATTACTAGTACAATATAGTATGATATCATAGAAGCTGGTGTTTTATTTTATCTTTATATCAAATTACTAAGAAACCAATTCACATATTTAGTATCACCTCCAGAAAACTCAACTCAACCCACTGCCACCGAGTTGCCTCCACTCACAGTGACCCTACATGATAGGATGAAACTGCCCCTGTGGTTTTCTGAGATGGTAACTCTTTATAGGGGCAGAAAGCCTCACCTTTGTCCCACAGAATGGCTGATGGATTTGAATGCTGACCTTGTAGTTATCAGCCCAACATGCATCCACTATACCACCTTGTATACATATTATTATACCTTTATTATATTGAGATAATGCGATGAGGAGTGCTGGTGGCATAGTGGTTACACGTTGGGCTGTTAACCACAAGGTCAACAGTTCAAAACTGAGGCAGCAGAAAATCATTGTATTTTATTTTAGGTCCATTAAATTACAGAAGGAAACTCTGAAGATCCCAGAACTAGGGGACAATTTCATCAAGCAAGGATGAAATATGGAGTCAACAGCTAAGTGGAGGAGCAATAACTGCCAGTCCTCTTCAGAGAGGAAGAACCAGATTTCCTTTCAAATTCATTTCACTTCAAATCCCATTTCAGCGATCTCGCCGATTATATAGACTTAACATGTGATGCCCATAAAAGATATAGGGCCAGATATGGAGAAAGCTAGTAATACAGTCTCTCAGAGAAAAATGGGAACTAGATAGCTATAGAAGGATGTAATAGGAGAAAGATCTAAAAATATATATGCTGATCCAAAAATTTAAAACTTGAATAGATAATGATTTATTTTGTCACTTTCTATGGATAAAGAATCTTTGGTATGTATACACAATGGAATACTATGTATCACTAAAAATAATGCTGATCCTATGAAGTACCTCATAACATAGATGGACTTTGAGGATAGTATGTTGAGTGAAAGTGGTCAAAAATAAAAGGCCAAAACAGTAGGAGATCACTGTTATTAAAAAAAAATCAAGAACAGGTTTCCATGCCAAAGGGAACAAAATTTTTAAAATTGTACATTAGATGGGGGTTTACATATCTGATCAACATTTTTGCATTCACTATTTTAAATAACTCAGCAACCTCCCAATGGCTTGCTTGGTGTCCCTTCACCTGCTCTCCACCACATCTCTCACTTACTTGTAGTATATTATTTTCCTCTTCCCCGAACTTTAACACCTGTCCGACCTCTGGCCTATTGCTTTGCCCCATCTTCCATTCTGTCCTGGTAACCAACAACGTCTGTTTTTTAATTTTTTTGCATGGAAAATTTTATATTACTGGTCTCCAGTAATATAAATTTGGCTTTTTGGTTTAGACTAAGTTCACTCAGCACAATATCCTCAAAGTCCATCTAAATTATCAGGTGCTTCATAGTTTCATCATTATTCTTTAGCGATGTGTAGTATTCCAGTGTGTGTATGTACCAAAGAGTCTTTATCTATGCTTCCATCCAGAGGCAGGTAGATTGTTATCTTCTTTTTGCTATTGTGAATAGCCCTGCAGAAAACATATAGGTGTGTGTATAGCGACTGGTGCTGTGTTCTTATTTTGGTTGGGAACCAAGCAGTCTTGCCTGGTCCGATGGTTCTTCTACTCCTAGTTGTCTGAGGAAGCACCATATCACTTTCCACAGTGAGTGCTGATGAGCCATCTCACAAGCACTCTCTCCTGCATTTGCTGCCTTTTGCTCTTTTGAACTTTGCCATCAGTGCTGGGGTGAGGTGCTAGCTCCATGTGGTTTTGATTTGCATCTCTTGGATGGCTCGTGATCATGAGCATTTCTTCATATGATTGGCTGCCTCCCAAATGGCAATCTGTCTGTTCATGTCCTCTGCCCCCTTTAAAAATTGGGTTATTCACCATTTTCTTGTGGAAGTGTTGTAGTTTTCCAGGGATGGCAGAGATTAGTCCCTTGTCTATTATGTCATTGCCAAAAAAGTTGTTCCCTGTCTGCCAGCTTCCTTTTTGCATTTTTGGTGAAATCTTTTGTGTGTATTGTATGTGTGTGGGTATGTATCAAAACACTTTTGATATATGTGTATATATGCTTGATGGTGTGTTAATGCTTGTGTTAGGGCCCTTATGTGTGTCCCTACTGTTTTGGTTCATGATCTTTATAGTACTAGGGTTTATATTCAGGCCTTTCAGCCACTCTGTGTTCATTTCTTCATCTGGAATAAGGTACAGATTCTGTCTTCCTTCCACAAAAAGAAATCCAGTCATGCCAGCACCATTTGGTGGGCTATGTCTTCCCCATTTAATATGTTTTGATCCTTTGTGGAAAACTGGCTGAGTATATTTGGATGGGTTTTATTTCTAGATTCTCTATTCTGTTCCATTGGTCTCTGTGTCTCTCATTGCACCAGTAAAGAGAACGATTTTTTTTTTTTTTTTTTGTGGTTCTGCACTGGGAAAAATTTTGCCCTGTCCCCCCTACGCAGGAAGATTTGGTCATGTCTGGAAACAGTTGTCACAACTGGGATGAGGGTGTAAAGACCAGGGATGCTGTTCAACATACTATCATGCACAGCACAGGAATTATCTGCCTCAAAATGTCAGTCATGACCAGGTTAAGAAACCCTGAGCTGATAAACCACTGGCCCGACCCAAATAAATATTTCTCTCGAAGTGTGTTTTTTAATAGTTCTGTTCTTTCTAGAAGTTTTTCCTCTATGCATCGATCCCCTCAAACTTTCTAATCACAGGTCTTTTATATACCTTTTGCCTCCACTGCCCACGGCATTGAACTGTTTCAGACAATCTGTAGGTAAGCACTGGGTGGAACTGAACTGTGGCCAGGGCCCATGCCCCTATGGAAAAGGTCTTCAGAGGACAGAAACAGAAAGAAAACTGTTTTCTCCAGAAAAGGTGCAACTGGAAAGGGGTGCTGAGTAAAGACCCACCGGTGATTTCCATTCTAATCCAGTTTGCTTGTCGGTTATGGCCTGAGCACCACTCAAGAGGAAGTACTCCTAAGTCTACTGATAGGCCAACTCAAGAGAACGATTTTTATGGCGCGCCTTTTTGTGACTAGATTTTGAAACCATTATTATACATTGTCTTTTTACTTAAAAGAGACAAAGGGAAGATCGTTTGTTCCCGATACTCCTTTCAATCCAAAAACGTGTTGTATGTCTACGTGTGGTTTGCAGGGGCAGCGCCTCAACCTCAGAGCTACCTAACTAGATGGTTTTATTGAGGAGTGGGGTTGTCCATTGGCTGAGGGTGTAGAGGAGAGATGCTTCGCAGGAAGAAAGCAGAGGCACAACTTGCCCCTCTTGAAGTCTGCCAACTATTTATCCCTTACTTGACTTTGTATAAAAATGAAAATTAAATGTTTGTCTAACCCATAAGTGGGTACACCCAAACAAAAACAATCTCACTGCCATCAGGCCAATTCTGAGCCAGGCAAAGCTATCAAACAGAGTAGAACTGCCCCTGTGAGTTTCTGAGGCTGAAATTCTTTCTTTCTTTCTTTTCTTCTAAAAGAATTTTGTTGAGATACAATTCACATAACATACATGTTGCCCATTTAAAATATACAATTGTTTTTTAGTATAGTCACAGACTATATGCCACCATCGTTGCAGTTGATTTACAACATTTCATCATCTCCAGAAGAAATCCCAGTCTCTCACCGTCTAACGTGGGCAGACAGACACAACTTCTCAAACTTCCCTGCGAGCTTCGGCCTTCCCACCCACACCAGTGCTCAGGCTGAAGTACTAAGTGCCTACTTCTCCGTTCCTCTGACTCCTCTTTCAGACCTTTACTTTTCCAGATCCTTCTGTACTTATAGGAGATCTAATTCTGACATTAAACTCTTTATTCCAGAAATATTTAAATGGCTCTGTTTTCATGACAAAGTCAGATGGATGCACTATTGGACGTCTCCGTCTCCCACTGCTGCCAACGGAAGCGTCATTGCCTCAGAAGGATTCCATGACTCTCAGGCAGGATTTAGTCCCCCTTGTATATATTTTTCTTTCTTTCTTAAAAAAAAATCATTTTATTGGGGGTTGTTATGACTTTTATCACAATCCATATATACATCAATTGTGTCAAGCATATTTGTACATATGTTGCCATCATCCTTTTCAAAATATTTTCTTTCTACTTGAGCCCTTGGCATCAGCTCCTCATTTTCTCCCTCCCTTCCCCTCCGTCCTTCTCTCATGAACCCTTGATACATTATAAATTATTATTATTTTCATGTCTTACATATTCCGCTGTCTCCCGTCACCCACTTTTCTGTTGTTCATCCCCCTGGGGGGGGAGGGGGTGTTATATGTCAATCACTGTGATCGGTTGCCCCATTCTCCACTTTCCCCTTATGCTCCTGGTATCACTACTTTCATTATTGGTCCTGAGGGGTTTATCTGTCCTGGATTCCCTTTGTTGTGAGCTCTTCTTATCTGTACCAGTGTACATGCTCTGGTCTAGCCAGATTTGTAAGGTAGAATTGGGGTCATGATAGTGTGGGGGAGGAAGCATTAAAGGACTAGAGGAAAGTTGTATGTTTCATCGGTGCTATACTGCACTCTGACTGGCTCATCTCTTCCTTGTGACCCTTCTGTAAGGGGATGTCCAATTGTCTGACTCTCCCTCATTCACATTGATATGATTTTTTGATCTGGTTCTATGATGCCTGATACCTGGTCCCACCGACACCTCATGATCACACAGGGTGGTGTGCTTCTTCCATGTGGGCTTTGTTGATTCTCAGCTAGATGGTTGCTTGTTTATCTTCAAGCCTTTAAGACTCCAGATGCTATATCTTTTGATAGCTGGGCACCATCAGCTTTCTTCACCACATTTGCTTATGCATCCATTTTATCTTCAGTGATCCTGTTGGGAAGGTGAGCATAACAGAATGCCAGGTTATTAGAAAAAAAAAAGTTCTTGTGCTGAGGGAGTACTTGACTAGATGCCCAATGTCCATCTGCTACCTTAATACTTAGCATATAAATATATGTACATAGATCCACATCCTTATCATTATTATAAATATATTTACATTTGTACATGCCTGTATTTAGACCTCTATAAATGCCCTTTGCTTCCTAGTTCTTTCCTCTATTTGCTTTTATTCTCCTCTTGTCCCACTTTCATATTCAATATTCATTCAGCTTTCATTAGTTCCTCTTGGCTACATTGCACTTGATCAAGCTCCATCAGGCATCCCATGCCCTCCTAAGGGCTGGAAAGGAAGCGGGAGCCGATGAGCCCAGGGACAATAGAACAATAAGTGACCTAAAACTGATGGTGAGGAGGGCATAGGATGTAGCTCTTTACCAGAGTAGAAAGCCTTGTCTTTCTCCCACCGAGGTACTGGTGGTTTCAAACTGCTTATCTTGCGGTTAGCAGCCCAAAGAGTAACCACTACATCAGCAGGGTCTTCTCAAGTCATGCACAGCTGAAGAAAATTAAGAAAAACTATCTCAAAGACTGTGGTGAATGCTACAAAAGTGCAATATTAGACACCAGCTAGTTAGTACTACTGCCTCATGTAATTCCAAAGAGAAAATGGGATTTGATTAAGTGCACATATTTTTTTTTAAGTTACTCAATTGTTCTTTGCTTGGATGCAATGCGATGCATATTTCTGTGGCTGCTATTTTCACTTAGTTAGCATTCTTTTTGATGAACACCTCGAGTGGAGAGCCAAACATTGCCCTCTTCAGCTGACTTGCAGTGGCCCTTCCTCTAACTTCATTAGGGAAGACAAAAAGCAAAAAGAAAACCATTTGTGTAAAAATGGCACTTAAGATCAGAAAGAAATTCTTTATATGTGATGCCTCTAAGTGCTATCTGCCTGAAGCTCTGCTAGGCAGTAATACTTCCTACAATACTACTGAATTTTTGTAGAATTGTTACATTTGATAATAAAACTTGCCTGTTTAATCTCAAAAAAAAAAAAGACTGTGGTGAAAGAAGAGGTAGCCATATGAACTAAGGGAGTGTAGTTAGTCAAGCAGTTGAAAAATATGTACTTCAGTATAGGTGCAAGAGCCCTGGATGTGGGGGTGGGGAGCAGGTAGATATTGGTTTTACAATAATTTTCTAACAATGGAATGAATGGGTCAGATCACATAAGTCCTCTACTTGCTGAATAGTACAGAAGAGTCAAGGCTGGGGTGTGGGAGGTGGGTAGTGGGGAAATCTCCCAGCCTGAATATCAAGTAGATGGATAGAAATGAATGAATGGTTCAGAGAGTCCAGACAGCAATGTACTTAATGACTAGTTTGTACAGGCATTTAAACATGCTATGCATTCCACTTTGATTGTTTTCAGAACCACTCAAGCCCTGGGAATCACTCAGCCGGTGCCGTCTCCGTGCGTCTAGTGGGGAAGCAGGCAGCCCTGCAGCAATAGGAGATGAAAAGGGGATGGCACGGGTGCTTCTGGAATGCAGTCTCAGTGACAAACTGTGTGGTAAGTACAGACCCTCCAAATGGCTGTGCATTTAAGGATATAGATCCTGGAATACTGTCATGAAAGGTGCTGGAAAGAGGATTATTTTATTTCTCCTAAAAATGTAATAGTAGTGATTTAAAAGAATGGGATCTAGGGGCCATTGTCCTTAAAGGAAGGAGCAAGTAACAACCAGAGATTCGGCAGCTGCCCCGTCTGTCTCAGTCAGACAAGTCATCTCAGAGCTACACGGTTAAGGAAAGCGATCTGGGGGCTAAGAAACAAGGGCACTGTAGAGTTGCTTCCCACAGTGGCTCATGACACGGAAGTAGAGCGGAAGAGGTGTAAATTGTGTGAGCTGTATGTCAGGTGTTTTAATGCTCTGAAAAAAAAAATCTTTCCTGCCTACCTAGTTGTCCGGGAACAGCAATATGAGGTTATCATTGTCCCCACCCTCCTGGTTGGTGTCTTCCTCATCCTTCTTGGGGTCATCCTGTGGCTCTATATCAGAGGACAAAGAGCGCAACAAGATACCTCTGGACTCCAAGGTACAGCTCCCAGTTCGGACAGGAGCATAAGCTCCTACACGGCCTTCCTTGCTCATTCTCAAATCTACCAAGTTTACCAATCCTTTCTCCAAGTCTTTGTGATTCTTGCTCCCTTTTGCACAGTTTCCTTCCTGGTACCAGCATGACTGTCACTTTATCATAGTAGCCTTTTCTGACCTTCAAAGATAAAACAGTATCACCGCCACTTCTTATCCACTTATCCTGTGCTATTTCTTCCATAACACGAGTTGCCTAATATATTATCTGCTTCCTCTCTCATATCATCATGAGTAATCATCATGAGAATCTGGACTTTGCCTATTCCTCTACCTGGAACAGTGCCTGGCATGGAGTAGGTAATATTTGTTGAAAGAATGAACGAATGAATGGCAATTCAATAGGAATTAGACTTTCTTTCCTGATTCAAGAAGAGTCCGTTCTGATTTAGAATGTGGAAATTAGCCAAAGACTTTGTTGACTGCAACCTTACAAAAGAAATAGTTTGGCTTTGGGGACCACTTGAAGGACCAAGAATAAATAACCACAGCTTGGAGCTGACTACCTTTCCATAACTCCTCTCTCGCAGTGGAAGCCATTTCATTGACATAAATGATGATACCCACTGGTAGCTACCATCATCTTCAGGGACATATGGTTTGGATAGCTATTCAGCAATTTCTTTAAATATCTCCATACTATAGTCATGAAATATATGGAAAAATAATCCCGAGGAAGACTAAAAGAAAATGCCATTACTACCTTCTAAAGCCCATCTTGTGTTAGTCTAGAAGTAATGGGAATGTTACAAGGTTGGGATGGAGTTTGTTCACATGGAACCATGGAAAGCCATTTTCTTATTGGCCAGAAAAGAGATTGCTGAAGGATGGAACTCCTTTGGAAGGTAGTTCTGGCTCTGCTTTCTTGGAGTTCCAAGGACAGGGAGACACTGGTTGGTTTCATCTCTTTATTCTAGGCACTAGCCCCATGCCTCCTCCATCGAGGGGCCTAAGCTGGGAAGCAGAAGGTCGGGGAAGAAATGAGTTTGTGCGACTTGAGACGTCAGTGGAAGGCCTCTTACGAGTCACCACACCTGCTCTGGCTAAGCTGCAGGTGCCCAGGGAACACCTCTCTGATGTGCTGGAGCAGATCCACCATGGTAGCTGTGGAGCCATCTATCGAGCCCAGATGCACACTGGGGACCCCGCTAAGTCCAAGAGGGTTGTACTCAAGGCCTTACGAGGTAAAACAAGAAGAGCAAGACTCCCCTTCCCTCTTTTGCTCTGTAACTCTGAGCCTCTGTCAGTAAATGCTAAACGGTTTGGTGACCATGAAGATGCCAATCAACAAAGAGTTGTCGTCACAATTACATACAGGGGAAGCGAACAGTGTGTGGACAGAAATGCCCTTCTTGGGTTTTTGTCTTTTAGCTCACCCTGGCATGCTAGTTTTCTCTGTAATAATCTCCATCTGATGCATTGTTGCCTGCTTACTATTCCATACTACTGGAAAGTAATCTTCATGGAAATTCAGATTTCACCTATTCTTCATGCCTAGAAAAATACTTGGAATGAAGTGGGTGATATTTGTTGTTAGAACTGAGTTCTCCATATTGAACACTATTTGAAATAGGATCTTGAAGTTGTGTATTTTTCTTCATCACTTACTAGCTTTTCCCTAATACTACATTTCTTGCCGATCCCATGATGTGGATCAGTAATTGTGGGAGATAAGGATAGATAAGAATATTCATCAAAAATGCTAGACAGTGATGATGATATTTTAATGTCAATTTACCATGTATGTAGGCAGACGCAGGTCTGCCCAGTTCTAAGATCTATGATTCTTTGCAATCTCTGACACAGGATCAGTGGAATTTGGGATATGATCTTCTTATAATTGGTGCCTTTTCTATGAACTCTATTTTCCCATACTTGGCTTCTTCTGGAAATTCCCATCTCCTTGAGAATTCCCATCAGAGGTTCCTTCCAGCTCCATGTCTCTCGCTCTTTGGTGGTGCTTTGATTGCTCACGGCCCCATGCCTCTCCTGTCTTCCGCAGAATCAGCTGGGCTCCAGGAGGTGCAGGACTTCTTAGGGCGAATCCAGTTCCATCAGTACCTAGGGCATCACCAGCACCTGGTGCAGCTGGAGGGCTGCTGCACTGAAAGGCTGCCACTTTACATGGTGCTCGAAGACGTGGCCCAGGGAGACCTGCTCAGCTTTCTCTGGACTTGTCGCCGGGTGAGATGTCGAGGGGTTAGGGTTAGGGATAGAGTGGACTTCACTGTCTATAAGCCTGGCAAGTAATGTGAGCAGTGAATGTCTAATATAATGTGTGGAGTCAATGTCTAATATAATTTCTGGGATGACAGAGATGTTCTATATTTGCTCTTTCCAAATAGTAGCCACTAGTCACATGTGACTGTTGACCACTTAAGTGGTCTGAGAAACTGAATTTTAAAATGTATTTGATTTTTGATCACAATGTTCAACAGATACCTCCCTTCCCCACCCCTCCTGGGGACAAACAACAGAAAAGTGGGTGAAGAGAGACAGCGGATGATGTAAGATATGAAAATAACAATAATTTAAAAATTATCAAGGGTTAATGAGGAAGGGAGGGAGGGAGGGAAGGCGGGAGGAAGGGAGGAAAAAATGAGCTGATATCAAGGGCTCAAGTAGAAAGAAAATGCTTTGAAAATGATGATAGCAACATATGTACAAATGTGCTTGACACGATATATGTATGCACGGATTGTGAAAAGAATGGTAAAAGCCCCCAATAAAATGACTGAAAAATGTATTTGATTTGAAATAGTCCATTGGCAAGCTACTGGCTACTGTATTGGGTAAGACAGATTTATAGCATGGACCATTAGCTCGATCTACTAGTTATGTCGCCTTGGCTAATGCCCTTTCTGAATCTGTATAACACTAATAATACAGACATTAAAAATGAAAAGGAACTATGCACATTAAAACATAATAGTGATTGGTTCGCAATATGAACTCATAAAAGGGTAGCTGCTAACCCTGGTGACATAATGGTTTACTCCTTGGGCTGCTAACAACAAGGTCAGAAGTTTGAAACCACCAGGTCCTTCTCAAAAGAAAGATGATATTTTCTTTTCCTAGAAAGAGCTACACTCTCAGAAACCCAGAGGGGCAGCTCTCTGCTGTCCTACCGGGTTACTGCGATCAGAATCGACTCGATGGCTCTGAGTTCATGCTAATCATGCACAGCATAACTGCTGTTACAATCACCCTGCTTCTGTTGTCGTAGCTACTGGTAGTGTATCGTCCACCCTGTAACAAACATAACCCTACTATCACAGAGCTAATTCCATTATTAAAGTTTTGTACTACAAATGTGCGTTTACATATTTATTTTAAAATTCTAAGTTTCTTTGACACATGATTCACATATCATACAGACCAACAGTTTAAAGACATTAAAAAGAGTTGTGCGATCAGCACCATAATCAATTTTAGAACATTTGTATCTTCCTGTACTCATTATTATTCACTCCCAATTTCTCCCCAACCTCCCCTGCCACAACCCCAAGAAACTGAATCCTATTCCTTTCTCCATCGATTTATCTCTCCTGGATTTCATCTAAAGAAAATCATACAAAAACAAAACAAAACAAAAAACGAACAATAACAAAACAAAATATAGAAAAACCTCAGTTAAAAAGATAACAGAAAATAATAAAAACTGGAACAAATTTAAAATGTGTCAAAAGGGAGAAGAAGTGATAAGGTATTAAATTTCAACCTAACTACAACTACATTAGTTCACTGTCTGAAAACCGGGCACCATCTGATTTCTCTACCATGCTTTACTATAGCACCCATATCTTTAGTGGTCTCTTTATCAGGGCAATTATCAAGTAGAGCCACCCCACAAGAACGAAACGTTCTTAAATTCGGACTACAGTTGAGTGAAAGCTCACAATCCATTTATACATCTATAGTTTACATATATCCCTGGGCCATTTTAGAGATGTCATGATCCTCTCACGGGGGAACATTAGAAATCAACTCAGGGACATGTGGTCATTCTATCCATTAGAAACAACAGAAACCCTCCCTTTCATCGAGGCAATGCCAACTCATAGAGAGCCTATGAAGGACAACTTTTAGGACCAAAATAAATGGATTGCTGACCTGTACGGATCCAAACCTTAAATGACTGGCTGGATACTACTTACACAAACAATGAGGGTTGGCGATAAGACAAAACTTTCAATAATGCTTATTCACAAAGGCAGAATCATGTCTGCGAGACTATGACCTTTTATTGAAAAGTAAAGAGAGAATAGCAACTATATGATAGTCCCAAGCCACCATTCACTGGGCACTCTCAAAGCTGGGATCCGAACCGAAGAGCCGTGACCTCCAAATTTGGTCTGCTTCTTCGCACTCTGGGGCAGTTCAACCTTTCAAATGTACATTTAAAATTTTTTAAATGTACAGAAAGTTATAGTCTCTAGTGCAAGTCTTGTTCCTAACAGTTTTCCTTGACTCACTTTCAAAGTGAGTCAAGTTGATTTTGACTCTTCGCATCCACATTTTTTGAGACTAAATATTCATGGAAGCAGACAGCCTCATCCATCTCTGAAGGAGTGGCTGGTGGGTTTGAACTGCTGACTTTGCAGTTAGCAGCCCAATGCCTAACCCACAGCAGCACTGGGGCTCCTATAATTATTGTTGTTTGGTGCCATCAAATCAATTCCTTTTACTAAAGTGCTACCTGTTTCCTAGTTCGCTTCTCACTTGCTCACAGGCCAGCTTAATATTCATTAAGCCTCCTCAACACACTGATTATTGTAATGCCTGGAAAGGGGGCCTTGCTGTTATCGTTGATTCAGTGACACCAATAGGAGGGCATGTGAGTCTTTCGGCATTTAAACCCATTTCAAGAGGTTGTTCTTCTGTAATGGGTTCTGTGTGCCAATTATAGTAACTTCCTTCAGATTCTCAAAACAAGTTTTCTGTTTCAGATCATTTCAACAAACCTCTCGAGATACACCAAACTCTTCTCTCGTTCTTCTTTTCATCGTTAGTGCCTTCTCATCTTTAAGAACTCATCAACAGCGTTGTTTCTCCAAAATGACAACCCTCCTCCTCCATCGGGCGCTCTCTGAGTACTCTCACATGCACCTTCGTGACATCACATACTGATGTGTGCTAATTTGATGCTGTCACACGAGTCGACCACATTGTAAGCTCCAGATGGAAGCAGCCCTGCTTATTTTGCTCACTCAGGCATAGATACTACTACTACTGTAGAGACTCTAACTGTTTATGGGAGTAGAAAGCCCGGAGCTGCTGGTGGTTTTGAACTGGTGACCATGCAGATCGTAGCCCAACATGTAGCTACTACATTAGCAGGACTCCTTCAGCATCGCTAGGCGTTTAGTAAAGACATGTTGAGTTTATGTGCTCATCTTTTCCTTTGTGTATGCCACACACACATACATACACACAGGAAAAATTGCTGGTTTATCAAGTGGATAGTCTTGTTATATACTTGTCTTTCTTAGCCACTGTTCTGTTTATTTCACTTATTCTGCTATTCGTCCACATCTTTGTACATCCTCCAGTCCAGTGATTCATTATCCTTTCCATATCTAACCTGGTGTCCCTGAACATCAGTCCTTATTTCTTTATATTCATGTTTTAGCTTTTAAGTCTACCTTTCAGATGGTCATGGGATTTGTTTACTTATATCTTGAAACTCTCTGTATCACTTTGATATGATGTTGTGTTCTTCTTTCTGCTCAGGATGTGATGACCATGGATGGCCTTCTTTATGACCTCACAGAAAGACAAGTGTATCACATTGGGAAGCAAGTCCTTCTGGCTCTGGTAAAGCTGGGGGAAATGGCAGTATGTGGAGGGGAGTTTTCTTGGTAGCCTGTAACACAATGCCACATTTCAAATATTTGTATCCTTCTATGCTGAAGATAGGATAAAGAAAATGAACAGAGGTTAGCAGGCAGAAACTCAAGCCTGATGAATTGCTTTTAGTTATGGTTTAGATAGCATATGTGGTTGGTCATGTCAAGCAGAAACAAGTCTATGTGCGGCTTTTAGAAGGAATACTATGGTTTGCTTTTGTTTTTTGAAGTTTCTTCAATCTTATAGGTCAAAAGTCAGTGTCGAGAACTATATATCCAGCTACCTGGCATCCCAAACTTCCCAGTATGCTAATACAAGCAGGGATAAGTAGAAGAGCAAACACAGAAGGAGCTTGGATCAAGATATGGGAAAAATGACATGGATGAAAGGCTACAGACACATAAGGCATAATATTTTATACTTGAAAAAAAGCAAAACAAGAAAAACCAGTTCAGCACATGTTTGGTTGGAGACTTGTTTTGATACTGAATGTGATAGGAAATAGCTCTCTATATGAATAAGTAGTAAGTGGAGAGAAATGAGAAGGGGCAAGTGAGTGATCCTTCCTTCCTTTGAAAATAAAACAAAAAGGCAGGAGAAAGAGCTCAGGGTTTAAGAAGGAAAAGAAACAAACCTTTGCCAGAACGATGTAGGAATTCAAATGGCTATTTCTATAGAAAACCCAGCCTCGGTGAAGCTGCCACTTTAGGTTTCTGAGAGAGCTTGCCATTTTGAAGTGTGAAATATTCCGAGAATCTAAATGGAATTGGGAAAAGTGTACCCTACCCCCTTCAAAAAAAAAAAAGTTTGGGAAGTGAGCAAAGGACAGTGTTAGCAGAAGTTCCAATGGGGCACAGAAGGGAGCACGGTGAATATGAGTATTCTTTATGTGATCTGGAGGGTCTGGTTGGTGCGTTCTTTTATCAGGTGAGGGTATCAGAATGCAATCTATTTAATTGTCTTCTGAACTATATCACAGAGGTGCCCTGTTTATGATCCTTGATCAGGCGACCTGTTACAAAGGCACTTCAGACCATTTTCCTTACTTTCAACAACCTCAGAGTCAGTACCTTCCTGAATTCTTCTCATTAAGGTTTAATTCCTTTGATCTAAAACAGTGGGTAAATAAGTGCACTAGTCACTGGTTCCTCTTACATCTTCAATGATTGGAAAATAATATCACCTTTACCCTTTCAAGCAAGAATAAAAATGAATTTATTAATCATAGACCATAATTTATAAAGTTCTAATTACATGCAGTGTTACGCTTCTCCATATGTCTTAAAAAGCTTGATATTGGGGAAAAAACCAAAAAACCAAACTCACTGCCATTGAGTCAATGTCAACATATAGTGGTCCTATAGGACAGGGTAGAAGTGCCCCTGTGAGTTTCTGAGATGGTACCTCTTTACAGGAGTAGAAAGCTCTGTCTTTCTCTCACTCCAGTAAATCAGTGTCTTCCACTCACAGTCACTCTCAAATGTTGGTTGGTTCTTCTTGAAAATATATAGATCACTTGGTTATTCTCCCTAAATTTTTGTTAGTAAACCCAGGGCAAATAACTTATGTTTTTAAAAAGTTATGAATGAATCTGACTTGCAGCCTGGTTTGAGAATTACTAGTAGTTTTTAAAAGTACTTCCTGTCAATTAAAATATACCTCCTCCTCACTTCTTGACTATCTTTTGATCTGACATTTCACATTTATGATGAGTAAAACAATCCACTATCCAGCTTTTCAGTGCATTGACAACATACATCTGGTAGTGATGACCACCAAGGTATTAGGAGAGAGTAACATTGGCTGCAGTGGTTAAGGTTCTGTATCAACATGGCTAGAGTAGGATTCTCAGTGATTTGGCAGTTATGCAATGATGTAATCATCCTCCAATTAGAGATCTGAGGTGGCCATTCTCCATTTTCACCCATGTCCTAAAGGATAGCCTCAGACAGGTGATCTATCAGACAGGTGATCTATCAGACAGGTAATCTATCGTTGATTTTATCTTAACAGGAATACCTCCAGGATAAGCATTTATTCCATGGGGATGTGGCAGCCAGGAATATCCTGATCCAGTGTGATCTCACGGCCAAGCTCTGCGGGCTAGGCCTGGCTTATGAAGTCCATGCCCGAGGGGCCATCTCCCCTACTCGAACCATAGCTCTCAAATGGCTTGCCCCAGAACGCCTTCTCTTGAGACCTGCTGGCATCAGAGGCGATGTGTACGGTTTGTCCCAGCCCTTTGGACTTCCTCCCTTCGTGATCTGGGCGTCTTCTGGTTGGAAAACATGATTGCGTTTATTGTCAATTAAACCTACCAATTAATTTTTTTTTATGTAAAAGTCAGACATACTTTCAAGCTGAAATTTTGTGTGACAGAATTGATATTCAGTATGTGATCCCAGTTCTCTTTAGGGCCTTTTAAAACTATTCCTTCTTTGTTAGATGAGTAGCCTTTAATAGGTGCGCTAGTTTCTTAGTGCTACCATAATGGAATACCACAAATGGGTGACTATAAGGACAAATATTTATTTTCTCACAGTGTGGGAGGTTAGAAGTCCAAATTCAGGGCACTGGCTCCAAGGAAAGCCTTTCTTGGTCTGTCCTTGCCTCAGCATCTGTAGCCTGTTTCCTTGGTGCTGTTCCTATGATATCTGCCTTCCCCCCATTGTGCTTGCTTGTCTCTATCTAGGCTGCTCTTTATAGCTAAAGAGTGCTTAGGTTTAGAACCCAACCTACACTGGCATGACTTAATAAACATAAGAAAGAAAGCTGTTCCCAAACAAAATTACATCCATATGTATAGGGCTAGAATTTCAACACACAGGAGAAAGGAGAGCACAACTTGATCCATAACAATAGAAAAGCAAAAGCAAGCATCAGTCATCCTGATACTTGGCAACTGAGTTCAGTCGAGGTCCTCTTATTTAAGTAGGTTGGCCCACTTAATCAAAAGGTCAACTAAGTCAAATTTATTAACAGAAAAATAAATATACATAACTTCAATATTTTATTTTTACTTAGAATATGTTGATGTACACTTACTTACCTACCTTTTGAGTAAGTAGTGGCCTGCAAAACAGTTATATGTGGTATTTCTTGTGTAAATACCATCCATAGTGCATTTTATTTTTACCCAAGTTTAGGATGATTCTAAGTAGAGTTGGAAAGTTAGAGTGGGAAAGAGTACTCCATGCCCATGAATGTCCCAGGCCACAGAGGAAATATAGGAGGTACTTAATATGGTCAATCACTTAAGAGACTTCCACTGCTGTTGCTTTACTTCACTGATACTGGTTTTTCAATAGAAATCTGAGAGTGATAAACCTCATTAGAAAATATTACTCACTAATGCTGAGATTACACAAGAAATATACATATCTCCCAAATATATTGCTATATATGTAATGATTTATAAAGCTTGTTCTGTTCCTATTTCTCCACTCCCCTTCACCCCTCCTCCCCCAATCTAGATTTGGGCAATTGGATATTCTGAAGATATAGTCAATAAATGATAAGCTTATTTGCCTTTCTGCTAAAAATAAAGGCTAGGAATTTAGCAAGGAAGAATTATCATGAAATATAGAAGAAAGGAGACATAGATCTTGTTCGCAAAGAGATTATAGTCTAAGGAGATTGGCTGAAAATTCATCTAATGGGCTTTACTTATTTTATCAGACACTTAACGTTCAATTTTCCATCTTTATGCGGCACTTGCCAAAAGACTCCTTAAGGAGGACTATATGTATTTGTTTCTTTTTCAGCTGGTCCTTTGGCATCCTCCTCTATGAGATGGTGACTTTAGGTAAGGATGACCCCAAAAAGAGTGTGTTCCAAAACCCAAACCAATCGTTACTGAGTTGATTCTGGTAAATTCTGATAGATTCTGAAAGACCTACCCCATGGGGTTTCCAAAACTTTAAATCTTCCATAGAAGCAGACTACCACATCTTTCCTCCATGGAGTGGCTGGTGGCTTTGAACCACTAACTTTTCAGTTAGCAATTGAGCACTCCACACACTGTGCCACCAGGGCTCCAACACAGGCTGTACTTTGTCTACAAATACGCAAATAGGTTTATCTGGGAAGGGCTGTTAATACCCTCTGTGAAGTTTGAATTGAACTGACATGAAATCCAAGCCTGATTCCCGAGATAAGTCTGATAAAGTGATGATTCCCTTTCTAACTTGTTATTCTTACTGTCTGCCTTCCTTTTTTATTTTCTACTTCTTTCCTTTCCCCCTCAAACTACCAAGGGATGTTGGCCAACCCAAGTAATAATCCCCAGAGTGGTTTTTCACTGAAAAAAAAAGCTCAGGCTTGGTACCTAACAATGTTGTCTACAGACTAAATGATGCATTTGACTGAGAAACCACTGTACCTATCCACATTTGGGGCTTGGGGGCAGATTTTCTTCCTCCCTTTATGTTTTTTCATTATTTTTCCAAAGACCCAGAATTTCCCTAATTTATCATTCTCCATGTACCCATCACCAGATCATTTTTATTTTAAATCCTCCAAGTACCATATGTCCAAAACTTATTTACCCTACCACCCCTTCTCAGGAAAAACAAAAACAAAACCAAAAAATCCCAGCATTCCCCTAGCAATGGAAAACACCAATACTCTCCATAGCTCACCATCCAGGATAAAAATGGAGGTCTCTGCTCTTGCAGTCACCTGGGTAGTTCCAGGGCCAAACAAGAGGTAGTATCTCTCACTTTGGGAAAACACTCTCTAGACCACACCTGCAGGCAGTAGCCACACTATTTCTAGTGTATTTCCCGTGGCTGGATCTTTTGAAGGCACTTACCCCAGGAGGATGGAGTGTCGTGTTAAGTTGTAGTTTCAGTCTAATGGCCTTGCTGATCCTTTCGTCCTTTCCTTACTGGCAGGTGCCCCGCCGTATCCTGAAGTCCCTCCTACCAGGATCCTGCAGTACCTCCAGAGAAGGAAAATCATGAAGAGACCCAGCAGCTGTACACATGCCATGTAAGTGACTTTGAATGGCCTGCTCTGTTCTCATATCACGACTGTTTTTGCACCTTTAGCAATCTTGCTTTTTTAAAACGGTCTGGATGACCCCATAGGTGAATGGACAGCCATACAGTAACATATGTGCTTTTATATCATATTTGATACGCACAACACACACATACATACATTGTCGGGGCAACCACTGAACTTGTATCAGGAATCTACGTTTGATACCGTCAAGTTCCTCAGGACACTTCTAAAGTCAGTCCTCCATGCAGCTCCCAACACTCAAAGCAAACTCATTGTCATTGGCTTGGGTCCAGTTCAAAGCAACCCTGTAGGAGAGGGTAGAATGCCCCTGTTAGACTGTGATTCTCTATGGGAGTAGAAAGCCTGACCATGCATTTTGAGATCGAAGTGTTAATTAGGTGATATTAAGAAGACGATAAAGGAATGCCCTTAGTATCCGAGAGACGCTGCAGAAAGAAGTAGTGAAAGAACTGGACTTGCAGGCTTTTTTCGGTTAACATTTGTTGGGAGAGGAGGAATGCTACTCAGGTATTTGCCTTGGTGAGTCAGTCAGTTTCTCTGGTTTCCCATCCAGGTATAATCTTATGAAATCCTGCTGGCGCTGGAGTGAGGACAGCCGTCCCTCACCTAGAGAGCTGCGCTTGCGCCTAGAAGCTGTGGCAAGAACTGCAGATGACAAGGCTGTGTTGCAAGTACCAGAGTTAGTGGTGCCTGCACTGTATGCAGCTGTGGCTGGCATCAGTGTGGAGAGCCTCCCCTACGGCTATACGATCTTCTGAGAACCCCAAGTCAAGAATATCTATATATTCTTGGAATCAACTTCTTCCAGGACTGAGAATGGATTTTCTAAGGGGACATGAAGGGAGAGATGGAACATGGATACTGGACCTTCTCCTACTAATTCCCCTAGATACCTGAGATGATGTTGGCTCAGGCGCTACATATCAGAGCCTTGAGGCTGAGAAATACTTTGAGTCTCATTTCTGATGCTCCAATCCTCAAGATTATCTTCAAGACTCAAAACCTTGGTGATAAAAGTTGTCTTGGAAATATGCAACGCTTGTTGGGGCACAGTACAGATTAGCTGGCGTTCTGCCCTCCAAGAGCCATCCTCCTGTGGAAGTTTGATTCACACTTGTTGGATGAGTGTTGGGTTGCTAACCACGAGGTGAGGGTTCAGAGTCACCAATCACTTCACAGGCTAAATATGAGGTCATCTGCTATAAAAATATTTGGCCTCAAAAACCCTCTATATACTCACTGTGAGGCAGAATGGACTACTCGCTGTGAGTCAGAATGGACTGGTGGCAATGGGCTTTTTTATAAGGTCTAGAGACATGGAGGGAATTGGAAGTCAATAAAGCAGTTGATGAGAAAGAGAGACAATTGAAGTGTGTTTAGCAGTGTACATATGGACCAACTGCATCTTTCAAAGAGATAGTGGAAGAAGGGCATAACATCCCTGGACTTGTGATCTAGGGATGGAAAAGAAGTATTAGGGGAAATGTCCAGTACAGCCAATCTCTTTTTATCTGAGATTGGTGAAACCTGTTGGCATTGCTTTTAACTAGAGGTTGAAGAAATTGATTCGTGCATAAGAACATGGTCTATACATTGCTCATCAGGCTAGCTTCCCAGTCCCTATAAGACTAAGGAGGCTGAGCGTAGAGACTCAAAGTTCAAAGTAATGAAAATGCTGTGTGTATGTGTTTATTTTGTAAACATGGAAACCCAACATGAAAGGTTAGTATTTTAAATAAGGGATAGAAATAGATGTAGTCTGAGAAGGGAAGATTGCAGCTTCTAACTTTGAACCATTCATTTATATGCTGTAAAATTTATTTTATTTAATATTTATTGAGGGATTATAGACTTTTCTAGCACATAGCTGTCTTATCTCTACAATAAAACCAAAACCCATTGCCGTCTAGTTGATGCTAACTCATAGCAACCCTGTATGACAGGGAAGAACTGCCCCCATGAGTTTCTGAGACTGTACTTCTTTATGAGAGTGGAAAGCCCCATCTTTTCCCCTCAGAGTGGCTGGTGGTTTCAAACTGCTGACCTTGTGGTTAGCAGCCCAATAGAACTTAATGTCAATGACTTCCAGCAAAATGGCAAACTAGGTAGATATGCCACATAGACCCTCTGCTACAAAGAAACCAGAAAACTACTGAAACAGATACAGATAATAATCCTGCAACTCTCAGCTTTGGAGGAAAGGCTAGATAAGTGGATTAAATAGCAATTAAGAAAAGAAGCCCCGCCACTCCACTCCACCCCTCCAAAAAAGAAAAGAAGTCAATCAGATGTGGACAGAGGGGAGACAGACAGATGAATAGACAGCTTGCCTGGCTGACATGATCATCTTAATCTTAAACTTTCAAAGCATGCCTCAATTCATTAAAAAAATTTAAGATATCACAAAGCATCTTCTTAGATCACAATGCTGTAAAGTTAGAAATCTATAATAGGAAGATTATGAAAAAAATCAAATACATGGAAATAACAGGTTTGTTTAAAGCTACATAGTAGTTGAAGGAATTAAAAAAAAAGAAATTACAAATGTCTTTGAAATTTCCTTGAATCAGATGAGGATGGGAAAACAATATACCCACCTCTGTGGGACACAGCAAAAGTAGTTCTCAGAGAGACATTTCTATCAATAAGCACATCATGAAATAAGAAAGGGCCAAAATCAACACCTTAACCCAACATTTCCAGCAAGTAGAAAAAGAGCCCTGAAAGACACCCACAGCACCAGAAGAAAAGAAACAATAAAGATTAAAGCAGAACTAAGTGAAAATAGAAATCCATAGGAAGAATCAGCAAGCCAAGAAGTTGGGTATTTGAAAGTATTGACTAAATTAACAAACCACTTGCAAATTTAACAAAGGATAAGAAAAAGGTGCAAATAACAAGAAAAAACGGAAAACATTCATTCATTGAACACATTATGGGTCGGGTATAATGAGAAAATAAAAAGAATCTTTTTTGTAAAAAATAAAAGGGGTGATGTCATAACAAAACCAATGGAAATAAAAGGGATGGGCAAATTTCTAGAAACACACTACCTACCTAAACATGGACTGTCAGAAAACCTGGACAGATACCAACGTCAATTGGCAGAACACAGTTCAGACAATTTCTACATCTTACTTTAGTGAATAGCAACTTGTGTCTTAAAAGCTCACGAGCAGCCATTTAAGGTGCAACTATGGGTTTCTCTCCGGAGGCAAGAAGCCCGAATGAAAAGAAAACAATATAGACCAGTCCAATGTAGACCATGCAAACACCAGTCTCCACAACCACGAGAGCACAAGGACTAAATGGTGCATGACTGTAACTGCCAATTGCTCTGAAAAGAATCACATTAGGAGATCCTGGATGTAGTGGGGAAAAGTGTAGAACAGAACCCAATATTGTAAAGCAGGTCAGTCCGATTGGTTAATGGACACGGGAAACCCCACAAGCCTATGGTCCTTAGTGGCCCTTGAGGTCTGAAAGTAAACTCAGCCCTGTGTTAGGAAAACCAACCATTGAAGATAAAAAGAACAGAGGGTTAGGTAAGTAGAAATAGAAACAGGAAAAATAGGCAAGAAGTGTGATAAGAGTTGGTCCATTGAGGGGATTACAATGGAGCAGTTGAAACAAAATGTGCATAAATTCTTGAATGTAAAACTGATTATCTGCTCTGTAAACCTTCACATGTTTCACAAGAAAAGCTTTTTAAAAAGGGAGACCTGAAGTTAGAACACAAAAAAGGTAAATGAGTTGAAGGGAAAAAATGTAAGCCTCAAGTTGCAATATTGAAAAAATTAAGGAGTAATCCCAGGACCATTGGAAATGGAGCAAGCAGGTTCAAGAGCTTTGGGTGAAGTGGTGGGGTTGCTGAGACCAGAAACACGAGAGGCTGAGGCAAGGAGACAGAGCAGTTGGGCAGCATCAAGACTATGGAGTAGGTGGGCTTCCTGGCCTATGGAGGCAGAGGCAAGGGCCACGTGACTGAGACACTGAGGACCAGCCAGTGTCTTGCCTGCTGGCTGAGGAAAAGCATCGCTGGGCTCCAATGACTGTATCTTTACTGTTTTCTAATCCTGGCTTGTGATGATTTATTATCTTCCCTGATAAACTCCTTTAATTTGGGGGGTAGGGGAGTTAATGACAATAGAAAAACTCAAGAGAAAATACCCATTGTCAGGGATTTTGCATGTGTGAAAGGGAGATCATCACTATCTCACAGGGTTGTGTAAGTGTTAAGGGTATTTAAATAGAATTTGGTGTTTACACATGTGCTCAATAAATGTATGTTTTCTCTCTTTCTCCCTTTGAGTTCCTGAGCGCTGTATATCTTTTTCACTTTAAATCGACTGGGGGTGGAGGGAGGGGAAGAGGGAAACACTGGCATACCAAGTAAGCAGTAATACAACGTGAGAGTGGGAATAACAACATTAATATGTGACAATAAACTTTAAGCCAAAATTTATTATGACAGAGAAGGACATTGTATGCACCACTTTTTGACGAAGGATGGAATGATTTTTAAAAGTGAATAAAGAAACAGTTAATATGAAACATTTAGACCTAACAGACAGAGCATCCCACTCAACAGTAGCAATGGACACAATCTACTTCATTACACATGTGTTTGGTTTAGATGATTTTCAGACACAAAGTAGATTTCAGTAAGTTTTAAAAAATTGAAACCATATAAAGCATCTAGGCTGACCATAATAGAATGAAACTAGAAGTCAATAAGAAGAGTAAGGAAAGTCAACTAAATTTCTGGAAACATAAACACTATTAAAATTACAAATCCATCGGGCTATCAAATACATCAAAAGGATACTTAGAGTCTTTCGAATGTAGTCGAAGAGGTGAACATTAATTTTATTGTGTCTTGATCCTAGCGTACACATCACTTTGTAGCCTATGTGACAAATTGGGAGGGATATTTAATGTACTTTGCTGCAGACCCAAATATGATGGCTTAATTGCAGTAGAGCATTTGTGGGATTGAGCTGTGAGTTGGCCCACCCATTTGCTTCACAGCCCATTTTTTGTTGAAAGAATGACAAACGGACAGGTGATGGGTATTTAAACTGAATCATTTTTTTTAAACTGAATCATTTGGCAGACACTTTCTCAAAATAAATTTTGCCCGTCACTTCAAATGAACAACCTGCAGTGTCATTGCCATGACATACATTACCATACAGAAATTAGGTTTATGGGGAATACTTCTTCCACCAGCTTCTCTTCAGTTGAGATAGGTGGTGACATGAACACATGGACTTTTTGAATAATAGAAGCCAACATATAAAACTAAGGTGTAATGCATTACTTGGTGAACCAACAACATCTCCCAATGTTGTTACTCAAAATCTATCATAAGTGAAGGAGTCCAGTTTATTTTAATGTAATACTAAAAACGTATTGATGAAACTACTTTGTGTCAAGTTTATGCTCAGTTACCTGGAATGCTATTAAAACTTTCTCTTTAACTCACAAATAGTTCCTGAAATCTTCTGAAAATCAGCCTGTCTGCTTGAGCATTATGCTATGTTAATAGTAGATGTGGGATCAAAATTACAATTCATATTTGAAAGATTAGATAGAGACCTTACGGGGCAACCAGTTTGTTAATGAGAGGGGGTAAGTGGTTGTACAGCTTGAAGAATGTAGTCAGTGTCACTAAATGGTACACAAACTATATATTACTATGTAGGCTCTCAACACAATAAAATTAGAAAAATATTTCCTTTCCTTTTTTTTTCTGAGCTGAAGTTTTTTTTTTTTAATCATTTTATTAGGGGCTCATACAACTCTTATCACAATCCATACACACATCAATTGTGTAAAGCGCATTTGTACATTCATTGCTCTCATCATTCTCAAAACATTTTCTCTCCACTTAAACCCCCATTAGGTCCTCATTTTTCCCCTCCCTCCTTGCTCGCCACTCCCTCATGAGCCCTTGATAGTTTATAAATTGGTATTTTGTCATATCTTGCCCTGTCCGACGTCTCCCTTCACCCACTTTTCTGTTGTCCATCCCCCAGGGAGGAGGTCACATATAGTTCCTTGTAATCGGTTCCCTCTTTCCTACCCACTCTCCCTCTACCCTCCCTGTTTCGACACTTACACCACTGGTCCTGTAGGGCTCATCCATCCTGGATTCCCTGTATTTTCAGTTCCTATCTGTACCAGTGTACATCCTCTGATCTAGCCAGACTTGCAAGGTTGAATTCGAGTCATGGTAGTGGGAGCGGGGAGGAAGCATTTAGGAACTAGAGGAAAGTTGTATTTTTCATCGTTGTTACATCGCACCCTGACTGGCTCATCTCCTCCCCGAGACCCCTCTGCAAGGGGATCTTCAGTGGCCTACTAATGGGCTTTAGGTCTCCACTCTGCACTCCCCCCTCATTCACTATGGTAAGATTTTTTGTTCTGATGATGCATTGTACCTGATCCCTTCAACACCTTGTGGTTGCATAGGCAAATCTTTCCTTTTCAACTAAAAAAAAAAAAAATCTGTTGTGCCTGTGAACCTCAGCCTGTCAGTTAGTTATACTACAAGGCAGGGTACCCCTGAAGACAATGGTCTGGTACAAACACCACATGACTCATATGATGAGGTCACTCTTTTTGTGTAAGCTTTGTCTGATGACAGCAGTCTCTTACTCTTCCAGAATATCAAAAAGATCACAGGCCACTCTTACAGTTGAGTGTGGCGATCGGTGATGCTGGAGAGACTCAGGGAAGTCTGTGAGTAACATCTATGACAGCTATAGGAAAGATGACTGGCAGTCGAGCATTTTGTAGAAGTTGGAATCCTGCTGGCGTCAAGGTGAGTCAGCTAATTGAATAATGACATTTGCAAATGTGGGAATACCACAGTGACTGGTCAGGATCTAAAAGGGTGGCAAGTGGAAGAAGGAAGGAAGAGGCAGTGTGACACAGTGCACAG